TGTGCATGCGGGGAGACAAGACTACAGCTCCCAGAGGTTCTCAATTTGTGTACAAATTCTAGAGAGCATTTTGTTCACTGTAGCGGAGCGGTCGTCCTAGCAGGGACTCTTTTCTGCTGGTTACTCCAACATACACACAGGAACAAATAGAATACGCCAAGGGAATAGCCAAACACAGTAAAATAATCCAGGAATCTCCCACCACCTTCCCAGCAACTGGACGATACTCAGCTCTAGGGGTATAACTGGTTTTAATGGAGCCAAACACAGCCTTTTATGTGAGTCCCTATGCAAGGGGATTACATATTCCATGGGCATTCCCCATTGGACCTGAGAGTAGACTGAGACAAAGTACACAGTATAATTACATTAACTCTCAGGTCCAGGACATGTACAATATTAATCACCCCAAAATATACATTTCCCCACAAGGTACCCCCTTAAGTCCTATATCCCCGGATAGCCTGGATATCCTAAAAGGGCTCAGATCCCACAGACGCAGCCAAAACGCCATGGGGTATAGTTTAGACTGACCGCACACGAGGCGCCTGACAAAAAGGTTCCATGAAATCAGGCTGTGCAGTCGGTCTCTTTCGGGAGTATAAACTACATTGAAAAAACAATACAAAACTGTTCGTGTGTACATTCGTTATGTGTATCTTGTTCGGGAGTTTGCTCCCCCTGAATGCAACTCTGTTCTCCTGAAACACCACGATAAACCAATAACAGGGAGATCTGTCCCACACAGGGACTGCAAGTCAAAAACAAAGGGGACAACCGTGGGAACAAGACACGGACAGCCCCTAGCAGGAATAAGGGTACTGTCCCAAGGCCCATTTCGCTACATTCCCAGATGGGAATTTCACTTAAATTCTCGTCAGCTTACCATCCTCAAACTAATGGTGCAGCAGAAAGGTCTAATCAGAGAACAATATTTCCATTGTTTGTCTCTGCTCACCAAGATGATTGGGTTGGCTTTCTTCCTTGGGCTGAGTTTGCTCTATATAATTGTGATTTATGATGCGACTCAACAAAGCCTCTTCTTCTTAAACTATGGTTTTAACCCTGTGGTCCTTCCATTGGCATTTCCTTCATAAGGAATGCCGATGGTGGATCAACATGATGAGGACCTAAAGAAAGTCTGGGAGCAAGTTCAACAATTGAAGGCTCATAAATCGTCTCTTGATAAAAAGCATGCAGATAGGCGTACACATGATTCCCCTGTATATTACCCGGGTGATAAGGTCTGGTTAAGTACAAAACATATCTGCCTTAAAGTCCCATCTATGAAATTTGCACCGAGATTCATTGGGTTAGACGGGTCAACCCTGTGGCGTATTGTATTGAATTGCCTCACTCCTTTTGCAAGCCAATGTTTTCCACGTATCCTTATTAAAACCCTTGATGTGTAACAGGTTCACTAGTCCTGTGGTACCTCTTTCTCCGGTTCAGTTGGAGGACCAGGAGTATTTCGAGATCAGTGCTATCCTGGACTCACGGATTTCTAGGGGTACTCTCCAGTACTTGGTGGACTGGAAGGGATACGGTTCTGAGGACAAGTACTGGGTGGCTGGTTCTGACATTCATGCTCCCCGCTTGGTCCGTTCATTCCACTCTCGGTTTTTTAACCACCCTGGCTCTTCCCGCCTTGTGGTCGGTCCTCGAGGTGGGGTACTGTCAGGTTACCTTGCGTATCAGTCAGGGGCATGTCACAGGCTGGCGTCACATTGCAGGGTATTGAGGACACGCCTACCAACTCTCAGCTTGTCCCCAGTGATTCTCACGCCAGCCACGGTAACCTTTTATGATGAGGCTAATGAGCGCTGATGTCATGATGCTAAGAACGCCACGGTACGCCAAGGCGTTTGAACGGGCGTGGCTACCTAATTGAACACAGTATTTAAAGAGAAACCAGAGAGAGACTCATTGCTCTGTTGTGGCTCTTGTTTGAAGAGCGCATATTCCGTATTGGTATTCTTGTATTCTGACTTTGGCCTCATTTGACTATTCCTTCTTCTGTGTTCCTTTGACCTCGGCTATAACATTATCGTTGTTCCTGATTTCTGGTACCCCTGACCTTGACTCGCTATTTGACTATTCTTTGTGTCTGTAGTGTTAGTCCGGCCATCCTAAGGTCCGGTATACATTACTAGCATTCTGCATGTAAGATCCCCGAACGCTCCTGCCATCACCATTTAGAGTGTAAGTTGCTTGAACATTCTTTACCACAAAGTGCATAACTTTGCATTTTTCTACATTACATTCATTTTGCCATTTGAGGTGCCTAGTCCACCAGTCTATCTAAATCCCTGAGCAGCAATGTAATCTCATACTTACGTTGTATTACTTTACAGAGTTTTGTGTCATCTGCAAACACTGAAACATGACTTTTAATGCCTATTTCAAAATAATTTATAAATATGTTAAATTGAAGTGGTCCCAGGTCCAGTCCTCTCGTTCATATATATAATCTGTCAACCTTAATTCAGGGAGTTTATTAATAATATCATATTAACTGTTCAGAGTAAAAAGTAACTGGACAAATAACATAATAGATACTGTATTATTCTGTGTAGACGCCCCCATGTATAAGACGACCCCTATTTTTCTAGCCCAAAATTAAGAAATCTATATTTTAAACATCAAATAGAACAACTTAAAAATTTTCGTGGTGTCTTCTGAGGAGAACAACACATTTCTGATTTTCATGTCTCCCCTGTGCTACGGTACTCTGTAAAGTTAATGGTTCTATTGTGCATGCGGGGAGACAAGACTACAGCTCCCACAATATAGCAGGTGGTGTGAGGGCATGCTGGGACATCACTGTAGTATTCCCTCTGCTCCCTGATCCCCATTTCCTCCCCCATAAATATAAATCAGAAAGCAAGCCCTACCTCAGATGGAGCAAACCTTAATATGGCTGCTCCTTTTATGGTGTGGCATGTCTCTGGAGCTCCGTTGGTGGTAAGTGCTGATGTCTGCTGATGCTCCCATGCATATAGGGGCCTCTTCCTCCTTGCCACAGCATTCAGAAGTGGATCGGCGGGAGGGAGGCCAGGTGTATGTGTGGGCCGTGGCACACTGAAATGTGGCAGACACCATCTTAACTTATTTAAATATAAAGAATAATCCAGGCACTCCAGCATATTCCAAAATGTAGGCAATTTTTATTGGAACAAGGAACAAAAAGGCAATGTTTCGACCCCTTAGGGCCTTTGTCAAGCTCTATGTTCCTTTGGGAGAGCTGAGGGGATTCTCTGGGGTCCAGTGGTGCTGCTGGGCGGCCGGTCACTGGGCTGGTTGGCTGTCTGGCCGTCTGGCTGGTGGGCGTGCGAGGGAGTACTCTCCCCTGAGCGCTCTCTGCCCAGCTCCCTGGGCCCCCAGCTCAGGGGAGAGTGCTCCCTCGCGCGCGCGCCAGCCCAGTGACACCAGGACCACACTGGCGTACATACCGGGTCGCAGGGCGGCTGGGCCCCCTGGTGGGCCGGGCTGGGTCACAGCCGCGACCCCTGCGACCCCGGTATGTACTCCACTGGACCTAACTGTGTCTCTTACATGAAAGCCAAAAGAAGCAAAACCACCCGTTTATATAATATCCTCTTGGCATGTTGCATTATTTTGCTGATCTCTGTCATAAAAGACATAAAGTAGTCTGTCACTAAAAACAACGTAACCCTATCAGAAGGGAATTATATAACAGAACTTTTTAAAGTTATTACTACAACAAAAAATTAATGATATGATTTTTTATTTAATTTTTTTCATTGCAAATTCTTTAATATACATTTAAAAAAAAACAAGCATTGTATATAGGAAATTAAAGAAAGAAAAAACAAACAAAAACAAAACAGTCAACCTTCATTATAGATGACTTGCAATGTACTCGATATTGAGAGAGAAGGTTGGGAGAGGATGAACGTGAGAGAGAGAAAGGGGCAGATAGAGTAAGAACACATGAAAGAGGGAGATAAAAAGTGGAAGAAAATGATGTGAGAAAACAGATTAAAAAAGAGAAGCAGGAGAGAGATAAGTGAAAGAGGAGAATGAGTGTGTGATATAAAAAGAAAAAGGAGGCAGAGAAACACAGAAAGAGGAAGGAAAGAAGGAGAGGGGATGAATGTATATCAAAAAGATGAGTGAGATGGAAAGTGAAATAGAAAAACAGGATGAGTAGGGGAAGGTAGAGAGGGAAAGTAAAGAGTGAGAAAAGGAATGACAATAAGAAAAAAGCAGTGAAAGAATGAAAGTGTAAAAAAAACAAATGGGTGTGACATTTCAATAAACAGGTATACCTTAACACGTTTTTCTGCTTTATGTGATAGAAATGAAATCCTCACCCTTGGTATTAGTTAAAGGATATCCTTGCCCCTTCAATATATAACAGAAAAGAAAAGGGGGTTTCAATGTTAAACATGTTATTGTCTCCACTGCTTAGAATGTGCTTGTCTGTTACAGCTCATGTCCAATTCATGAACAGGGTAAAGTGATTGAAAACACCTTCAGATAATACATATCCATACAATAATTGTAAGCAATGACACATACATCAATATTATAAAACCAGGTTAGGTTTCAATTTGTGAAAAGGGATCATTGCCGTTTTAAATATAATTTGATACTAAAATCCAATGCAGAGTCTATGAAAATAATTCATATTTTAAACAGATTAAAACACAAAAAACACAAAAAAACAAACCCAACAAAACATAAACAATAAGTAGAGCATGGAAATGGGAAACCAATGTACAATTCCAAAATGCTTACTTTATTTATCCAGAACCACAGATGTTCATGTTTCACAGTTGTAAAGTAGAGATGTTGCAATGTCCTCCTACACAATGTATTATTGTCTCAGTTACAGTAGGAAATAAGTGCTAAATTGAAGACATTTTCTGGCTTCCACATAAAAGAAGCAACAAAACAAAGCTTGATGCGTCAGAGAACAGGACATTAGAATCAAGGGTTTATGCAGTGTTCATCTGATTGAACAATGTATCCGTAATCACTTGAGACATCAATCCATGGATGGCTTCAATTGTTGTTTTACAGCTGTCTCTGATTGCTTTGGCCAGTTTGTGTAAAACTTCCCAGGCCAAGCTGGCCTTCAGACTGCTCAAGCTTTTCTGACAAGTGAAATACCTGCCCCATTGTATAGTCTGCATTAGTTAGCAAGCAGGAAGAACTCAGTGTATTAACCCAATACTTGTTCCATAAGAGCTCAAGTAGCTTGCGATCTAGGGAAGACTTGAAATATGTAACCTCCAAGGCATAATATCGTTTGCAATGCACCCCCAAATCCTCAATTTTGTTTAAAGTAATTGTCTGGTACTCTGACAGGCCTTCATCTAGTGGTTTGTAACCCTTTGGATATGTCCTGAATGCACCTAAATTAACCTTTCCAGCAGATGTTGTCCTGGTTGGGTCAATCACAACTGCTACAAAGGGTTCCTTAAATTGCTGATTAAGCATCTGAGTGCTGACGTCTATTCCTGAAAGCCAACATTCATAACCAGGATGACTGTGGTACCAGCCAATTGGACATTAGGCCCATCACCTCTAGATTGCCTCATGAGTGTGCATGCATGACCATCTTGAGCAGTGCCAAGGCATATACCTTGCAATACTTAAAGTAATTATGGTCCCAGGTTTTCTATGCCACACTGCTGCCGGCAGCCATGTCTGCAATCCTAGTCCCTCCCTGTGACCGCTGAGTCAATATGATGACTTTTATGATTTACTTTTTTTGTGAAAATTCCAAACCTCAAAATTACAATATTCAGCTTTCCATATGTATATATCTGTCTGTCTTGTTATACATATATTAAATTATATATTAGATTAATTCATAATAAAATAATAGTCAGTAAATCCAGACTAACATATAGGTGATGCAGCTGCAGCCCCAGGCCCGGTCCCATGGAATATGCCCATTGATTTTATATATATATATATATATATATATATATATATATTACATAATACTCTTCACATACTCCTGCTTAAGTATGGAAACTTAAGAGGGATGTAGGGGAACAAAACTGGTGTGGATTGGCTGACAATGATATTAATTAAGGTAATGCATACTTTGGTCTCTCTAACACTGTGCCATGTCCCCTTTCTTCTACACTTACTACATATGCCTTTTCTCTGTCCCAGACTTTATATACCAGGAGTTTCTGCTTGCTAGTAAGAAGGTAATGAGACAATTGGACATTTGAGTGCTAAAGGACAGTCCTTAGAAAGTGTTGAGCGAGCACACCATTAGAAGCATTCATGCCAAGCTCAGGGTGCTGTCTGGATAGTATGCCCTTAAATGGCCAGCCTGCATGATTGGCAGGCATCCTGACATGCATTAACGCTAGACTGGCTTTCCAATTCTTTGTGCAAACATGCCCCCTTTCGGCGGTTCTGGTTATGTGATTCACATCAGTGGCACACCCTTTTCACCCCATCAATTGACGTCCATCTTCACTGGACACTGCTGTTAGGAAGTATGGATTTACTTGAAAGATGAAAGCATAAATTAGAGAGAGATTAGCATAGGGTATGTGTTTTTTTCATAGCTGCATCCTATGAGTCTTCCTCCAACACTGTCTCCGTCAGATTCATGACATTTGGGAGGTATGACTGTTTTAGGTTGATAACATTCTGTAATTGTCAGCACCAGGCCAACTCGGCTCTTAACCTGGCCCAGAATATATCTGTTTAACAGTACAAAAGACAAAGTGTTAACGTTTAGTGCTATATGTTACACATAATCCCCAAGATTTAAAGTGTTCCCTTACAAACACTCAAAATACAATAATAATAAAAAGGAAAAAAAACAAGGAAAAGACTGTGTGAATCACCACAAAGTGATAATAATAAAAATATATACAAACTGTGTAACATAGATGTACCTTAGATATATATCTATAGGGAGAAATATAAAAATAGTGTAGTACAATTAACATATATAGAGGGTGGGGGTGGCAGAGAACTCACAAAATGGAGATGAATTCAGGCATATCTCCCTTAATATTATATGGTCATACATCCCTGAGGAAGACCAGAAGAGGATGAAACGTGTTGGAGTTGTTTATTCATTTTATTTTATTTTATCTGTGGTGTCCTAACTACAGCTTTTCCTGTGATTTTACTGGCTGATACACGTGGATACCACCTTGGTGTGGAGACATGCTGTCTTTGCTTTGAAACATTGTGAGTGCAATACATATAATACATTGTTACATTTTTATACAATCTAAACTATCTCTTTTTCCCTTCTATTTGAGTGGGCAAGAAGATCTATTTTCTATCCAGAATTGCATCGCTGGAGGCTCTTCATACTTCACTAGTTCCCTAATATTAAGGGAGATATGCCTGAATTCATCTCCATTTTGTGAGTTCTCTACCACCCCCACCCTCTATATATGTTAATTGTATTAAACTATTTTTATATTTCTCCCTATAGATATATATCTAAGGTAGAACACATCTACATTACACAGTTTGTATATTTTTTTTATTATCACTTTGTGGTGATTAACACAGTCTTTTCCTAGTTTTTTTCCTTTTTTTTTTTCCTTTTTATTATATCTGTTTAACACCTGGTAAATAGTAAAATCTCAATAATCACTACTAGTGTTAAGCTTATGGTTAGTAGAACCACGCTTACAACCAATATTTGCAATATTGTCAGTAAAAACATTTGCCTATTTAGAGCATCTGCCCACTAAGTAGTAAATTTATCAGTCAACAAATCCTCTGAATGGCTCCTTTACAGTGAATGATAGAGTTGCAACCATGGGCAGGGGTAATTTAAAGTGCATCCATTAAACATTTTAATAGATCTATTAACCAAGTAAAAACAAAACACCATTTAGTAGATATACCCCAATAAAAAATGGGTGCATTTAAGTGGGGATATATTTTCATTGGTGTTACATTTAAAGAAAGAAAACTAAGACTGGCTGATATGAGTAAGTTACTGTCTAACTTGAGCAGGACACACAATTCTTGAGGATCTGCAGATAATGCAGACATTTCTTAGATGAATATGGTTTTAATTGTAATTTGTATGCTGTTTTTATAGCATATTTTAGTTCATATGCTATGTAATGTAATAAATACATTTGTTGTCATTTATCTTAGATCTTTGTTTTCCTATTTTGGTATGGTATTGGTTAAGGTTTTTGTTGCTCTAAATGTATTTTCTGCTTTGAACTGATTCAAGTCATATTTGGTATCTGACATATAAATAGAAATGTGCATTCGTCTTCAGATGAAAGGCAAAGTTGTTTTCAGTTTTCAATGATTTAGTCAGAAAAAGTATACAAAATTGCCATGTAATGAATGACTGAATGGGCCACTGACCGAATTTCATTCAGTCAATTCACTAAAATTTTGTGAGAATTCTATAGAATTCTATAAAAGGATTCTATAGTTCCAGGAAAACAAACCCGTTTTCCTGGCACTATAGGCTCCTGCAGTCCCCCTCTCACTTGTGTCACTTACCTGAATCCAGTCACTTACCTGAATCCAGCTCTGATGTCCCGCGGCACTTGTTCATGCTCTGCCACGGTCCTCCCCCACCGGCATCAGCAGGTGGGGGTGACCAAAAGGGCATGTGCGTCAATGGCCATGCTCGCATTAGGATTCCTCCATAGGAAAGCATTATTCATGCAGAGTGTTAGGACATCCAGCATCAGATAACAGACCAGACAGCCACCAGAGGAGGAGTTAACCCTCAGAGGTAATTATTGCAGTTTCTGAGAAACTGCAATAATTATCACTGTAGGGTTAAGGTACATGGAACATTGCACCCATACCACTTCAATGAGCTGCTGTGGTCTGTGTGCCTACAGTGTCCCTTTAAAATATTAGCACCACAGTGTGAAGGCTAGTCAAAAAGTTGAGAGAGCATTAAAAACAACTAGATTTGCCACAGCATCATCTTTGCCAAGATGTTGTGATACTGTGAAACTTCACTTTATAGAGAAAATTGGAATGTATCCTAAAGCAGCAACGAGGGATACATTGCTTATTATCAGAGTTGAACATTGGAGTAACACGTCCACTGGGGTGAGAAGAGTGGGGAGATAGAGCAAATAGTGTCAGTCCTTAAGCCATTCAAAGATACCACAGTCTATTTAAGTCAAGCCAAAGCAAGCCTTGGGCAGGTGATTCCATAATTCACACTTTTGAAGGGAATCCTAGAGAGATAGGCTGTATACTGAAGCAGCTTTTAGTAGGAGGTTCAAGGAGGAATTGAAAGGTCACATGATGACAACGATCAACACCATCATTCTAGCCATCATTTTTGACAAAACAAGAAAGGGGAATCTGGCTGTAAAGAGCAGTATCCTACCTATATGGAAAGACAGACTAGTAAGTAGAGTGCATGATATGCAAAAAAATATAGGTATGATAAGGAGGAACAGAAGGAGTTGGCAGTGGTAGAAAAATATTCTCCTTGTATCAATGTCAGCACCTCTACACAGCAGCAGTCCTACTCCATATATGGTGTCTGTGGTCACGTTGCTAAAGACAGCAGAAAAAAAAGGATCAACAGCCATTTCGTCTGAGGTCTTAACTAGTGAAGCCCTATCATTTCAGTGTGACATCTCTGAAATGGCAAAAGCATACCTTTCAGAACCTATTTTGTCTACTAGTACAAATCCTTTTTACTTACTGGGAAAGCCTGAGGTTGGATGCGTAACAGATGCTGTCATGCCCACTCACAAGTGTTTAGAGTGAAGAAGTATTCTCAGTAACTATCACCATCCTAAATCCCCAGACTTCAGTGGGAGCAGATGCATGGTGGCTGAGCTCCAGTTGACTACACCCCATAACTGAATCCTATGATGCTCAATCACCATGAATGAGGTAGAAAAGGAATACCAAAAGATGCTACACAACATGGGGATGAAGGCAATAAACTTAAAACCCTGGCTGGAGATGGCTCCAGCAGTATCAGCGACCTTCTGCAACTGTAGCCTAAAACCAAAATGGCGGCGCCGCTAGAGTTTGCCTATACCTCCTCGGAGGAAGAGGTAATAGACGATATTCCCCATACAAAGAAGTTGGTGGCCACTTCGCAAACAGAGGATTTAACAGCCCCAGCCACAAAAGGAGACATCAAGGTACTTATGAATAACATCAGAGCCTTCTTTAATGCCAACCTTGATATAATTAGAGAGGACATTACAGTGGTTACCGGAAGGGTGTGAGCAACTGAGGAAACAGTCTCCACAATAACTCACCCCCAGGAGAACAGCAAGGAGCTGATCCAACAACTACAAGCAGCCCATAAAGCTGTTCAAGTCAGATTGGACAATCTGGAAGATTCACGGAGGTGCAATAACCTCAAAATTAGGCGTATTGCTGAAAAGGTTGATGACCACGAATTGCTGCACTTTGTACGTCGCCTAATGGCCTCACTGATGCCTCAAGATGCCGCAAAATGGATCAAGCTGCATGGCTGCCTTCGACTTACCAAATCCGGCAGGGGTCACTCATGATGTGCTGGTGTGCTTTATCATGCTACAAGCCAAGTCTATGGTCCAGGAGGCGGTGAAGAACAAAACACCTTATCCGTTCGAGGAGATGCAGCTCCACTTCGTACAAGATCTGTGTCACTCCATCCTTGCCTGGAGACGGTCACTATGGCAGGTCACTCAAACCTTATGCTTTGCAGGAATTGCTTATAAATGGGGACCCTCACGTACCTTGCTAACTACTAAAGATGGCCGCTCTTACCAACTCACCTCCGCGGAAGACTGCAACTTTCCTCCAAAAATAAGGCTTCCTCCAAACCACAAAACCTGGGAAAGGACAAAGTTGTTCCTCAGACATTTCCACAGCCATGCCATTCATCCCACGATCAGTAGCTGATATTGGCTGATGTTGGAAAAGGCACCCAATCGTGAGCACTATACTGGACTGAGTCGCATACCAGTCATACATATCTAGGTAATTGCCATTTTTGTTTAGCTTTTTTCTTTTTATGTTTTTTATGTTCTTTAGCACATAGTACTGTAGCACATGTGATGAACCACTTGGCACCCCGACTGGGTACCTCCACCAATCAATGCTTCCTAGTTGTCACTGAGTACTATAAATACTGCACCGGACACTATAGGCACTGTAAACCCTTAGCCGCCACAGCTTGGCTGGGGTCTAGCCATCCCTTCCCACCCTGGACCAGACTCCTAGATCCAGCTCCCAGTGGGAAGATCTCTCCTCCAAGTGTAGCAGGTATAGCAGTGTAGCTATTACAAGAGCTAGTGATTATAGCAATCCAAAGAACAATCCCAGGAGCAGGGATTATAGCTGGTATAGCCTTCCCCGAGACAAGGCTCTGTGTTGAGGGTAAACTGGAACTCGTTTATTGGCAGCCACAACTGGCCTTATATGCAGGTCCCCATGGAAGGGGCACTCCCCCCTGGACCATAGAGTAGACTACAGTAACAACATACACATGATTGGCTCTCATGTCCAGGACACTCCCGCATACAACAAGATAATCCCTCCTCTGTGTCTGGGAGATAGTTGAGTCAAGCACTGTATTAAACTAAATTATCTCCAGGCACAGAAAACATAATTTTTTTATAAAAACTACAAAATACCTTTAAACACACAAACCCCCCACAAAAGTTGCATCCCTTTAAAGCCCAGATCTCGATGACCAACATATCCAAAAATCACCCAGATCGGTTCAGGGGTTCAGGAATTTCCTGCAAGTCATGATTTTGACCGACCATGCACATGGTCCTATGCCAAAAACAGTTCCAGGGAATCAGGGCTAACGGTTGGTCTCTCTTTCTGGAGCACAAAATTGCATAAATCATATGAATGGAGCCTTTTAAAGTGTATTGGGCAAGGTATATTTCAGGGCCCATAGTCCTGAGGCAGGAGACTGGCAAGAAGGCTCCTCCAAAAGCCCATGGTGAGGTTCTGTTCGCCACAGCACATATAAGTCTTGGGATGGTGCATAACATGCCTCCCCCCCAAAGTTCAGGGGTTAATGAGCGGCACTATTCCGTCTATGTAATGAATTTTTCTGATCCACAACATATTCTTTATTTTATTTGTAATATTTCACGACCAGCCATTAGTGGAAATCCCTTAACAAGGCACTTGTGATGAGAAAGTGACAACGCGACCAACTGTACATGTGTTAATGCCCACCCACCACTCGCCTAGTTATCAGATTAGGTGACATCACTCTAATATCCCACAGATGTGTTGAACGGCCTACATGGCCTCCCCAATGCTTTCAAGATAATAAATGTAACTGGAGTTACAAGTCACAGGCTCTATACAGAGTGCTTGGTGCCTTAGTACCTTAACACCCCATTACCTTTCCCTCTTTGCCCAGAGAACATAAATCAAGTACAGCATGCCAGTTCAAAGGCATACTGAGGTTGATACCACTCACATGTGTCTGCTGTTAACATTTCTCTTTTACTCTCAAATAATATGAGGCAGATAAGCCTAGATTTATGCTTATCTTTGTGATGATATTGTGCTTTAATTGTACATTATAGCTCCTTTTCTTTTTCTGTAATGAGCACCTGCTTGCCTCAATAAAAAAAAAAAAGAATTACAAAAAAAAAACACCCAAACTTTGCTATCAATCTCTATATGTTAATTAAAATTAGCTACCAGTGCTAGTTCGAAGAAAAACTACAAATGAATAAGAGAGAGACCTATTCTAAAAGTTTTAGAAAGTGTTACAGAGGTAGATAGGGCTTAAACCTTGAATTCAAACATTAAAACCTAATGAGGATGGTAATTCCCTAAAAGAAGGAGGAAGAACCAGTCCCATAGGGAGTATCTGTAGATAAAATACAATACAGGGTAAAAAACTTTATGGAGAGAAGCATATACTATACAAAAAAGTGCTCATGCAACCTAAAAGTGATATAGAAAAGTGTACAAAAAGTGATGGTAGAATGACTACTGAATCTCTATTTTAAAAGTATACAGTAGGCTCCACAAGCTACAAATGTGGTATTTAGGTAGTATACTAATTTAACACTAAGTAATAAGCTGTTTACAAAGTGTCCTTAATGTAAAATGTAATACATGCAAGATTAAACCTGAATTATATACATAGGGAGGACAGATGACAAACATTTAAGGAGTCTATTAGAACTTGAACAAGAGATTGCCACTGCGTACTAGAGGTCCTCAAGGACACTTTGTAAGTTTGGGAAACCAAAAAAAAAAAACGAATTACCGAGTTAAACTGAATATTCTTTGTGTGCACTTCTCTATATATACACTAATATAGTAATCTATTTCCTTTATATAGATATGGAGTTTGCTACCTAAATGGAGAATTATTTCTCTTCAGCTCATATGAATAACTATAACAATAATTTGCTGAACTAAAATATAAGTAAAATCAAGCCAGCAAGTCTTTATTTTTATTTATTTATTTGATTAGACACAATTAAGTAACTACTTGTGCTGTCTTTAGTTAAGCGAGTGATTTTAATAACTTTCACTTGGAATATATCTCCAGATTTCAGTATTGTGTGGAATCACTTTAAAATGATTTATCATGCAGACATGGAAATGTAGTTTAAAAAGCTGCATGAAGAAATACTGACTGCCTGGGGATCAGGAATAAATCAGTAAGACTGTGGCTAGCTGTAAGAGTTAGGGATTATTCCACCAGCTAGGAACCATTTTAATGCATCATTCTTGTTGAGAGGATGAATACTATTTAGCAAATCCCAGTTAACTGTTAGAGCTTGAGTACAGTAGCAGTCAATTCCTTTATTTATTTTTTGACAATCTTGTTTTTATTGAGACACTTTGCATTTGCATTACAGTAAGTTCACATATGGCATAATATAGTGCAAATATTGTAAGGACAGCAATTGGTATTAGGGTAACATATTTGTTGTCGTCGTCGTACACATAAAATAGCGAGTATCAGATTTACAAACATGTGATTCATTCAATATTCATTTCAGAGTTGGGTATGCATGGCTTCAAGGTACATGTAGACCATATATTGGTAATGCGGGTATGTGAGTGCCTAAGACTAACTGGGAGTTAGGTTAGCGAATTGGTGAGAGAACCATCACTTTGAGAAGTAAGCAATAGATGTATTTATTAAAACTCGATGTGTAGTCGGTATTTGGAAGACTGTGATAAGCTCATGGTTAAAAGGCCATGCGGGGTGGCCCGGTGTTGTATAAGTTACCCTGTGCAGAAAAGTTGGAGTCAGGACCACCCCTGTTGGAGGGTGTCTGATCATAAGTTTGGTTTCAAGGGGGGGCAGAGAGGAAGAAGGGGAGAGTGAAAAAAAGAAGAGCGAAAAGAGAAAAAAAAATAAGAAATATCAGCCAAGGAACCCAGATCTGGGTAAATGTTTTTAGGTGCCCTTGTAAGGTTGCAGGATTCCATGGTATAAATCTTGCCTATTATATCTACCCATTGCTGGAAGGTGCGCACACCCTTCTGCCTCCATAGTGAAGGTATTAGAGACTTTGTTGATGTTTTGTCAAGGATTTTTTTATTTGTTTTAAATGACACATCCGTATGGTGTAGAAGCATGGGGAAGGGCTGGAGTGGAGATGTTCACCATTGTCCAAAAAAAGGCAGTTCCACCATATTATTTATTTCTAAAATATTTTACCAGGAAAGATACATTGAGATTTCTCTCGTTTTCAAGTATGTCCTGGGTCCACAAATCATTGCATTGTTACATTAGGTACAACAAAATACAAAAACAATATTAATACACAATATATACAAAATTTAACATAGAACAGGCAGGAAATATATAATCAACCATGACACATGCATTCTGTTTTGAGGTATGTAGAGAGGGATCTCTTAAATGACTTTAGGCTTAGGGAAGATTTTAAATTGTGCGGGAGGTCGTTCCACAATTGCGGCGCTCTTAGGAGAAGGAGGATCGGGCCGCTTTCTTTTTGTATTGAGGTAGACTAAGTAAAGTGCTTGTACTGGATCGGAGCTTATAGAAAGTGGGAACAGCTGGGGAAAGCATTTTGTTCAGGTAGGGTGGGAGTTTCCCAGAAAAGCTCTTAAAAACAAGGCTGGAAAGATGAAGGGTGCGCCTGGATTCCAGCGATAGCCAGTTTAGTTCCTTTAGCATGTCACAATGATGGGTCCTGTAATTACATTGTAGTACAAATCGGCAGAACGAGTTATACAATGTGTTGAGTTTATTAATGTGGGATTGCGATGCAGACGCATATACTACATCCCCATAATCAATGATTGGCATCAGCATTTGCTGTACAATCTTTTCCTTTACTGTAGGGCTTAGGCAAGCTTTGTTTCTGTACAGGGCACCTAATTTTGGATAAAGTTTAGATGCAAGCTTTTCTATGTGCAGGCCAAAAGATAGATTGGGATCTAATATCATACCCAAGTATTTGAAAGAGTGGACTGCGGTCAGTGTGCCATATGTGGAGTGGAGTGCAATACCAGTGACGTTCCCGCATCTCCAGCATGGTGTTGGCTGCAAAGTATT